TATATTTATATATATATATGTATATATATATATATACTTTATATATATTTTTCTTCTATCTATATATTTATATATTCATTTATTTATCCATTTTATTTATCTGTATTTATACATATCGCGAGTAATGTTTCACTGTTGCATGATGTGCCACATCATCGGAGGCGCACGCGGATACGAAAAATATGTCGAAATGTTGGGCGAAGGAAAGCCGATGGGATTCACTCGAATGTCCCTAAAAAAGTTGCATACACACTTTGATCATTATCAAATAATTTCAATTGTTTTGCAAAAATTAATTTTTCCGATAGAAAATCTCCATCCCCATAAGCTTTCCTGACCCCCTTTATCGAGAAATTTTTTTTTTTTCCAATTAATTACAATTACAAAAAAATCGCGGTTGAAAATTCGCTTATTCGATCAATATGGCGGCTATGTAATCGAGCGTGAATTTTGATTTCAGCGACATCCCACGATCGGGGACGTTATCCATGGTTCAGACAAAACGATCGGAGGGCTCCATGAAAGGAATCGTCACGACTTCCGGATCGAGGTAATGCGGTTTTTTTCCCCCCTCTCCCTTAAAAGAACGAAATTCAAATTCCTTCGATTTCTCGTTCCTTCAAATATTGTTGCAAATAGATGGTTCAATATTAAGAAAAAAAACGCCTAATTGATAAATTTCAGCACTCGATGACCCGGCAACACAGGCTTGCCACGAGGAAATCCCAGATTGCCGGGTAATGAGTTTATTTCAATGTTTTTTTTTTTTTTTTGTTTTTATATATTATACATTACCAATTGGACCAACGATCCAAAAGTTGTACCCTCGAACGACTCGTTTCAGATCCATGTGACATCGTCCCGAAAGAAGGATAATGGAAAAAAAAAAAAAAAAAAAAAAAAAAAAAAAAAAAAAAAGAAAAAAAAATAAGGTATCCGATTGATCGTCGAAAAAAATAGCGCTATCCGAAAGGCTAAAAAAGGAAAAAAAAATCCGAGGGAAAAAAAAAAAATAAAAAAATCTCACGAAGGGGCGACATCGTTTGAATCCTAATTCGTCGTAAACTTTCTCGCTCGTAACTATATACGCACGGTACATACAAACGCTCTCCTCTCTCTGGTCGTTACTCTGCTTCGTACTCTCTCACTGAGGACTTGCTCGCAAGCGAACAGATGGACGCACATACATATACATGTACATTTACATATTATATACATATTACATATATGGGAGGGGGGGAGGAATACACATACACACACGTACCGAAAAACAGGCATACTCTCGATGCATGCACGCTATATCGCTATCGGTTGCGAATACACACACAATACACACATCCACACGTACACATAGAATCGCATACATACACACGTAGTTGTGTACACGCAAAAGTAAGTATCCTCGTGAACGCGTCTCTCGTTAGCCATGAAGAAAAGAGAGTAGGGGAAAGAAGAAAAAAAAAAAAAAGAAAAAAAAAAAAAAAAAAAAAAAAAAAAAAAAAAAAAAAAAAAGAAAAAAAAATCTTCAGTCACGCGATTCAAAAAAAAGAACAGAGAAGAGAAGAGAGAGAGAAAGAGAGAAAAATAGAGATACAATGGAGAACTATCGGAACAATGATAATGGGATACGATAGAATAATATTAATAATAATAATAATAATTAGAATAATAATATTAATAATAATAATAATAATAATAATGATAATAATAATAATAATAATAATAATAGCAAATAGTAATAATAGTAAATAACAATAATAATAAATTAGTTCTGTACAAAGTTTCGCTTCGAACATGATATATAATATTGTAATACCTAAGAACGGGTCGGACGATGATATTCGCGATCGTCCGCCTCCACAGCATTTCGTATTATATACATATATATATATATTTTTTTATGTGTGTGCATATATATATGTATATTTCATTTTGCTCCCCTGCTGTCGAACTCCTCGCTGAAGTCTCTTCCTCTTCGTCTTCATCGTCATCTTCATCATCTTCCGTTTCTTTTCTTTTCTTTCTTTCTTTTTTTTTCAAGGAAGGAGTCTCGGGATCTCTCCACTCCCCGTTGTCTTCTCGTCAACATCAACCTCAACGGAGGATCGTCCCGCGCGATCGTCCAATAGAACGTGCACGCGCGAGCCACCAACTTCTTGCTTCAGCAATACGAACAGCAACAAGGAACAGCAACAACGGCAGCAAGCAACGCATCCCGCGCTACCACCGTGTTGTGTGTGTCGTCACCGTAGTGGCAAAGTCCGGTGGAACGTTCTCACGCGCGACGTCCTGCGCAACGGGAGGGAGAGAAACAAAGGAATCGCAAAGAAACGCACGCCCGTTCGCCCGCTGGCCCATAACGGAGAGCCGAGCGCGGCGCGCACCACACGTAGATAACTATTGTAGTATTCGTGTACGTACGTGCGCGTATATGCACAAAGGGATTCGTAACGCGTGTGTTTCTCTGTCGCGCCGGTTGGTAGTTGCGCGCGTCGAGGACGGTGCGCTGCGACGACGAAACAAACGTATCGTAACGCGCAGAGAGAAAAAACAAGAGTTCTTCTTCTTCTTCTTCTTCTTAGTCGCGTGTGAGTCGCACGCGGGGGCACGCACAGCATTTTCGGTCATTTACGGAGGAAGATAAATGTTCGTTTTACGAATATATGTATATATGTATATACATATGTATATATACACACACATATATATA